AGAAATTGATATACCTCCACATTAAATAAAGGTCTTAAGACATCGTTTAATGTGGAGGTATATCAATTTCTTGACACTTTGCTTTTCGATCAGACGATAAACCACAAGTTAATCTTATAAATTTTTGTGGCATTCCTTTACCTAAAAGAAAGGGAACGGTAACAATGATTTTTATATTTTTTTATAAGTATCTCGCTTTTTATATTCTTAATTTATTATTGGATACTTTTTCATCAATAATAATTTGCAATAGATTTACGTAGTTACAGGCAATCCTTTAGCTAGATAGTCCTACAAAAGGCTCTCAACAAAAGTCCTCAGTTTTAAAGAGAAAATTGATAGAGTTGGCCTCTACTATGTGAAAGTTATTCGTAATGATATTTGGTAAAAACACACTTTTTGAAAACATTCACCTAATTTTTATTAAATTCTTAACAAGTTTCGACCTACAAGGCCATCTTCAGAAGAAGGATTAATCCTTTTAAAGTTCTCTGGTATTAGACAATTGTTTTCTTTTAAAGCAATCATTTCTTTTTGTTTTATATTGAACACAATCATACTGACTCAAGCAATTTCGCTTATGTTATAGATACATGTGTGAGAGAATTTGAAAGAGCAACAGTAATCTCTGATGCGTGTACAGTACAGATAAAATTACATTGTAGAATTTATTTTTAAAGTAGACTCTGACAAGAGCCAAATCTCCCATCTCCCTGAATATCTTGCCGAAATGCGAACGCATCCGATAAAAAAACAAATTTAAATGTTTCTCACTATAAAAACCCTCTTTTGATTAGGTATATCGTTTTGAAATTTCACATAATTGAAAAATAATGCTGTAATTAGTTCTAGCGATTGCAACTAATAACACGGAGAAAACTAAATTTTTATGGCTAAGCAAAAATTATAATATTTCTGTTGTAAATGAGAAATAGTAGAATTTATTAGGTAACTTGTAATAATCTCAATTTTAACATGTTTTTTTAAAAATTACTTCAAGTTTCT